GGACGTGGGCCGGGCGGCCGGGCACCGCGCTCTGGCCTCGACCTCAGGGGTAGGCTGGGCGTCCACCCTCCACTTCCCCTCTGCCAACTCAGCAGGCGGCCGCGTCGTCAACACCAACTGCTCGGCGCTGCGAACCCGCCAGGCGCTCTGCTGCAAGATGTCCGTGGAGTACGACAAGTTCATCGAGTCAGGTCGCAAGTAGGCGGTGGTGTTCCCCGCTCCCCCAGGGAACCCAGGGTGAATGGTGGGGGCCCTCTCAGCCACCAGCCCCGTGTACACCACTGCCCTCCCTGCAGGTGGTTCTGCCACGTGGATGATGACAATTACGTGAACCCCGAGGGCTTGCTGCATTTGCTGTCGGCCTTCTCTCCCAGCCAGGATGTCTACCTGGGGAGGCCCAGCCTGGACCACCCCATCGAGGCCACTGAGAGGGTTCCTGGAGGCGGCACTGTACGTGGTGGGGCAGATGGCCTGAGGATGGCGCTGGGGGTCAGGGCTGAGGAGCTCTCTCCTGGGCAGTCTGACCAGAGCTTCCTGTCTCCAGGTGACCACAGGCAAGTTCTGGTTTGCCACTGGTGGGGCCGGGTTTTGCCTGAGCAGGGGCCTTGCTCTCAAGATGAGCCCGTGGGCCAGGTGAGTAGGGGCCCAGCTGCTGGTGCTGGGAGGCGGCGGGATTGGGGTGAGGGCTGAAGCAGCTGACCAGCCTTCCCCGCAGCTTGGGCAGCTTCATGAGCACTGCTGAGCGGGTGCGGCTGCCGGATGACTGCACAGTGGGCTATATTGTGGAGGGGCTGCTGGGTGCTCGCCTGCTGCACAGCCCCCTCTTCCACTCCCACCTGGAGAACCTGCAGAGGCTGCCACCCGAGGCCGTGCTCCAGCAGGTAGGCCCTGGGCTCCCTGGCGCCTCAGTGGGCGCTTCTGCCCCTGGGCCTGCCCCACCCTCCTCCATCACCCTGGCTGGCCAGCCCATCACCCAGGTGCTCTCCCAGCTGAGCAGGAGTACAGGGCTCAGCCTTGGGACTTCTGTGTGGTCAGGGGGGGACCCTGGCCAGGTCATTTTGTTACTGGGCACAAGGTCATCAGGTAAAGAGTCCCTGTGCATCTTCCCCGGGGTAGGGGTAAAGGAGAAAGGGCTGGCCCTCCTGTCTGCTTCCTTTTCTCCCAGGTCACCCTAAGCTACGGGGGTCCCGAGAACCCACACAACGTGGTGAACGTGGCTGGAGGCTTCAGTCTGCAGCAAGACCCCACACGGTGAGCAGGTGGGGGGCTTTGGGCCCCCGGGGCTCGTGTTGGCCCACAGTCTTGACTTCGATTTCTTCCTTCGCAGGTTTAAGTCTGTGCACTGTCTGCTGTACCCAGACACGGACTGGTGTCCCCTGCAGAGGAGGGGTGACCTCACCTCTCGGTGACTGAGGACTCCTGGTGGCTGCCCCCAGGTGGGCCTGGTTGGCTTCCTCTTGCCACCAGTACAGGTGCTGGGCAGATGCTCTGCTGGCCTCCCGCAATCTCTCAGCAGTCTCAGGGGCCAGGTGCTCGGATGAGCGAGGACCACCAAGTCCCGTGCTCTGGCTGCCCAGGGATGGAAGGAGGAGTGATGGGAGGAAGGTGGTGCTGCTGGGCCCACAGGCATCTCCCCAGCCCAGCCCAAGCATCACGCTTGCAGGGAGGGACCTCTGCCCAGCATCTGGACACCCAGGCTCCCAGGCTATGGCCTCCCTGCTCACCTGCAGAAGGGCCAGGCAGGCAGGATGCTCAGGAGTGGACTCCAGGAGGACTGTGGGCAAGTGAGGGGGCTTTCCCTGTAGGCCTCATGGGCACCTCCCCACACAGACCGCTCGGTAGGGCCTGGGGCCAGCGTCAGGGCGTGTTCTCCGTAAAGCTGCACTTGCAGCCAAGAGCCTCCAGGGCTGGCCTCCCCTGGGGCCCTCAGGATGCCCTTCCCCATTCTGCTGGACACTCAGGTCTTCCAACGGAGCTCTGTCCTTCCTGCCCTGGCCAGGGTTCCTAACGCAGCCACAGTCAGGGAGCCCCGGCGTCAGGAGTGCAGCGAGTGCAGCCTCCCGTCGTGCTCATTTGGGCTCCTATTTCAGTGGACACCCGCAGGTGGCAGCTCGGCCCTGCAGTCCTCCCCACAGCCACCCTCCTGCCCAGCTCGACTCCCTTCAGGCTCCGACGAGAGCTTTTCAGGCCTGGTCCCAGGCGCTCTAGCTGCCCTCTCAGCGCGTCTCGAAGCAACTGCCTTGTGTGCGTCTGCACAGGTGTGCACTCCCACGTGCGGGTGGCTGAGAACGGATGGCCCCGGCGGGCATGTGTGCACGTGTGCAGAGGGTGTGCACTCGCTAGCCGTGGGTCAGCTTAGGTGCTCACGTGGGGTGAAAGCGTGTGTCCTGTGCTGGGGAGCCTGCCTTACACTTAGAACACCATCCCTTTCCCAGACCTGGGCCATGACGCCACAGCTCAGGCAGCTGTGGGATCTGATGTGGGGGACCCTGGGCTCCTAGCTGCGTTGCCAAGCCAGGGTGCTGGCCCATGTGTTGCATTAAATGCTTTTTCCACTCGGGATATGTACACCTTGCGATCGGTTCCTGGGACCCAGCCCCTGTGCGTTGGAGCAGCTGTGTGGAAGGCAGGGAGCCACACCATGTGGCAGGTCAGAGTTGGGGAGCAAGGCACACCCAGGACATCTGGGTCAAGGGTCACCAGCCTCAGGAGCCAGGAGCAGTGGCACACACCAGTAATCCCAGTGGCTCAGGAGGCTGAGGCAGGAGGATGGTGAATTCAAAGCCAGCCTCGGCAACTTAGTGAAGGCTTCAGCAACTCAGCGAGACCCTGTTACTAAATAAAGTATATTTCTAAGGGGGGAGGGAGGGGCTACTGGGGGTGTGGCTCAGTGCTTAAGCGCCCCTGGGTTCAATCCCCAATACCAAAAAAAAAAAATTACCAGCAAGCCTGAGAGGAGAACAGTAAGTTCTGAAGTCGCCCCGACAGCGGTTCCACAAGAGGGCGGCCCCTGTGTCCCACGTACACCTGCTTTGGCTGCTGGAGTGGAGGTGTGGCCAGCTGGCACTTGCTTCCCGACACGGGATTGGGTGGCCCCTTCTTCCACCCTCACATGAGGATCTCCACCCGCAGCCTCCCCACAGCCGCGTCCTTGGGCTAGGGACGTGTTCAGGCCACCAGAACAGCGACTGCCAGGTGCGGGCCACTGTCCCGCACGCACACATGGACTCCCTGCATCTTTACAGCCAGGTGTTCTCCACTGTGAGTTCAGCTAGAGCCAACGGCCTGTGGCCCAGCCAGTTCAGGCTGCTGTGACCTGCAGCAGCGTGCAGCTGCTGGCGGGGAGGGGACCTGTCCGTGGAGGGCTCCCTGGAGGTGGGGCTCTGCAGGTCTGACCGGGGCTGGAGCCCAGAGGTGTGTGACTGCTGAGCCACCAGCCCTTTCTACTTTTTATTTTAGGATGGGGTTTTGCTAAGTTGCTTGGGGCCTCCTTAAGTTGATGAGGCTGGCCTCGAACTCTCGAACATCATGCCCCAGCCTCTCGGCCACCACACCTGGCTTCTCTCCTTTTCTGATCCACATTGAGGCTGCTCCTGAGGTCTTGTAGCCTCTCTTCTGAGTGACTAGGCCCACCAGAGTTATGGTCAGACTTTTCTAACTGGTAATTTTGTACTTTAGTCCAAAAAGTTGTTCCCAGGCAAAGCCGGTCCTGCAACTCACAATTTGGGAGAAGACTGCCCACCCCAGACTCGGGCCCTCCCATGTGGATCGCTCAGACTGAAGAGCAACCACTGCTGGGAGGAGTGGAAGAGTCCGGAGGTGACCCACAGCTCAGGAGCAGGAGCGGGACCTAGAGATGGCAGCTGGGGCCCCAGGAGTGGCACAGCATGAGAGGCCAGGGCCCAGACATGGTGACACCCTAGGCAGCCGTCACACAAGTCACACGGGCTAGGGTGTCTGGCAGGTTACAGGAAGTGGCCATGCCTTGTCAGTGCCTCCCCACCTGTCCAGCCTGGAGTGGTAAGCCCCGAGACCCTGCGGCCCCTCGCACCTTGCCAGCTCTTGCCAGGGACGCCCAGGAGAGGATCGGCCAGGCCAGACCTCCCTCCAGAGCAGCCCACAGCCCAGAAGCCCCTGCGCGGCCCCAGCAGAGCAGTCGGCAGCTCCCGTGCCCTCCAACGGGAGCTGTGTGCCCCCCAGATAGCTGCTGCACCTGCCTTCCAGAGAGAAGGAGACCACCAGGGTGTGCAGCTTAGTCCACCTCTGAAAGAGGAAGTGGGGGAAGCACTTGCTCTCTTTGGTTTCTTGTATAATTCACAAACTGCCTACAGTGGACATGTAGTAGATATATAGAAAACGTTATTGACTAACATTAAAAATTGTTGGGCTGGGGACATAGCTCAGTAGCAGCTGGTGCATGAGTCCCTGGGCTCCAGCACCTGTGTACTTGGTCATTTTCTGGACAAGCCTCTACTAAGCTTCAGTACCCCCCATGTGACTGCCCACCAGGCACCTGAGGACCAGTGCCCATAGGTTGGACCTGGCCAGCAAGCTGGGGAGGGCTCCAGGGCCGGATGGGAAGAACTGATGCAAACAGTTGGCGCCCACTACTTGCAGATTACTTGCAAATTCACCCCTCGCTAAATTTTATGTGTAACCCCAAACCAATATTTGCTTAGAAGAGGAGATTATTCACAGATGCACAGAGTGGGGACAATTTGAGTGGCCGCCTTGGCAATTTACGGAGCTCTGTCTCAAAATGAGAAAAGGGCTGGGTTCAATCCCAGCACTGAAAAAGTAAAACTCAGTGGCTGATGGACCACTTCCCGGCTAAGGCCAGGCTCAGGGACCTGCCCTCTGGCTCTGCTCTGATGCGGAGACATGGGTGCTCTACTGCGGTTCTGCTCAGGCCGCTGGACCTGCTGGAGCCCCAACTCTGGCACCCAGAGGTGGCCAGCCTCAGACAAGTCACTTACAAAATTTTACTTTCTCTCAAAAAATAGACTCTGCAGAAGGCGTCGCCCCTAAGCTGCAGGAGAGGTCTGTTTCCTGGCAGCCACGGCTGAGCATTAGTTTATTCCATGGTTGCACAACTCTGTGAGTGTGATGAAAACCATCGAATTATACATAAGGGACTGCCCAAAGCCTCCCGAGATGGGCTGGTTGAGAGGCCCAAGCAGCACTGGGCACCGGGGATCTGTCCACAGCACGCTTGGGGGCAACTTGGTGCTGCAGCTCATCCTGGGGACAGCAGCAGAGGGGTCCTCCACCTGCGTCTGCAGCCAGGGGCCAGGAGGTGGAGTTCAGAGCCCGACGTCAGACACCTTGTTTATCAGGTCTGGGAAGGTCCAAGCCTGGCTGGTCACACAAGATCAAGGTACAGTGTGATTTCTAGCCAAGATACAGAAAGGAAGGTGGTGGTGGTGGGGAGACCTTTGGTGTTACCTAAGAAGTCAGTGGGGGGGGCACGCCTGTATTCCCAGCGCCTCCAGAGGGGGGCAGGAGGACCACGGTGTAGGCCAGCCTGGGCAACTTGGGGAACCTTATCACAAATGTAAGAAGGGCTGGGATGTGGAGCACTCCTGGGCTCACCCCAGGACGGGGGCGGGGAGTGAGTCAAGATAAAGGGTAAGATTGGAAGAGCACAGTATCTGAGCCCATAGTTTTATTATTTATTTTTGGTGCTATGGATTGAACCCAGGACCTTGCACATACTAGACAAGTTCTCTACCACTGAACAACATCCCCAGCCTTTATAATTCGATTTTATTAACAAACGTTTCCACAAAGAGGTCTCCGGGACCAGATGGTCCGATTTACTAGACATTCAAGGGAAGGCTTCTATCAATATGGGACTCAGCAAATAGAGCACCTTTCCCAACTCCTACCGCAAGGCCAGCAGGACCTGTTTCAGCTCAGACAAATACATTATGAAAACACTGACGCCGAAATGTGCATGGGTACTTACCAGCCAGGGGGGACACTGAGGTCACGAGGGTGGTGTTCCGGGGGTGGGGGCCTCCACTGCTCTCGGTGTGCTGAGGGGCAGGAATGGGGAGAGTGGCTGGTGCCCAGAAACCAGGGACGATCCTGGGCAGAGCAGCGTGCACACTGCTGGATCATTGCCAATAAATCTGCCCAGTGATAGAAAAAGTCTTTGGCATAGAAAGTGCTGGGAAACCGACATCCAAGTGGCAAAAATGAACCTTGACCCTTCTATCAGGCCCGACAACCACTGGCCCGGGTGATCCGCAGATTCAGGTCCAGCCTGGTCAAAACCCCATGACTTTTTTCTCTCAGAATCTTAGAATTTATTTGTAATCTCGTAGGGAATCTCAAGGGGCCCAAGTAGCCTAAACAGTCCTTGGGGGGGGGGGGGAAGAGGACGGAACGGCCTTGGCTGATACCACATACCAGAATTAAAACGCGAAAGACCAAGGTCCAAGCCAGAGCCAGGGCACCCCGAGTAGGGTGTGCCTAGCCAGTGCCCACAGCCCTGGGCTCCTTGCCTGCTTCGCGCGCACACAGACTTTGTGTACCAAAGAATGGCATCAAAAGTACAAGGGCTACCCAAAGAGAATCTGGAAGTGTTTACCGGTCACTGTGTGGTAGGGGGTTGCTATCAGGAAGAGAGAACCCCTGAGACTCAGCCAAGAAGCAGCCTGATTCACAAAGCAGGCGCAGGCCTGGAGAGACACCTCTCCAAAGGGGCACAGTGGCCGGCTAGAGAGGGGACACTCAGCAGCTGTAGCCGCAGGTGCCCCCCCTCACTGGGATGACTGCGCCAGGCTGCAGGGGAGAATCGGGGACCTCAGAGGCCTGGCGCACAGTTGGTAAGAATGTTAAATGAGCCCAGCACAGGGACACACCTGTCATCCCAGAGGCTCCCGGGGCCGAGGCAGGAGGTTGGAGAATGAGAGATGAAAAGGACTGAGGGCAGCTCGGAGGCAGAGCCCAGGGTCAGTCCCCAGTTCAAAAAAGGTGAGAAGAAAGGAAAGCAGGGCCACTGCTGTAGGGGACAGTCTGGCCGCTCCCCACGTGACCCAGCAGCTCCGATTGAAGATATATACCCCCAAAACTGAAATCAGGGTCCTGGGGGGGGTGCTTGTACTCCATGCACACAGCAATGCTGTCTACCACAGCCGGCACAGAAGCAGCCCAAGTGTCCATCCACCAATGAATGGACAGGCCATCCACATCATGGAATACTCTTCAGCTCTACAAAGGAAGTTCATCATGGTGGCACACCTGTAGTCCCAGCTAGGGAGGCTGAGACAGGAGGATCACTTGAGCCCAGGGTCTGGAGACCAGCCTGGGCAACAGAGAGAGACCCGTCTGGAACAGGAAGGAAGGTGGGAAGACAGGGAGGAAGAAAAGGAAAGGTTACGGAGAAGACATTCCTACCAGACAACCCTGGCGGGAAATGTGGAGAGAGCGTGGCTTGGGAGGGGGAAGAAAATCAGCCAAACCTGACCCTCTGCCAGGAGAAAGTCCTCCCCAGTAACGTGGCCCAGGGGAGAGCAGGCCTTCTCCCTCCCAGGCTCCTTCCCAGCCCTGGTGGGTCCTGGAGGAGGGGGGCCCCAAGCTCGACCTCCCCCCTTGCCCATCAGTGCTGTGTGGAGGCCTAGTGGGGGGACTTCCAGAGGAAGAGGAGAGCGCTGGGCGGGACTTGAGGCCTCACCCCAGGGTCTCAGCGGCTCCCTTCCCCTGACATTTTAACCTGCACAAGTAGGTCCCTCAGTGTCCCATCCACGTGTCCGCCGTCTCGAAGGATCAGTTCACCCTCAGTGTAAACTATAAAACCCAGGCTCCTTCTGGAACCTGGGGCCATTTTTGTACCCAGAAATGAGCCCTCCAGTGCCCGACTGACTCCACGCGGAATACGGGAACCTTGCTGATGCGTCTGCCCAGTCATTTGTACTTTCATCATGGAGCTGAAACCGTGTGGTGGGAAGGTGGGTGAGGGCTGGGGGTGGCAGCGGCCTGACCTGGCGACACCAGAGCTGGCTCTGATCCCCAACAGTGCACAATGAAGTCGCTCAAGAGCTGCGGAGGCAACAGAGGGAACGCTCACCCCGCACCCCGGCACCCAGGCACCCCACACCCCGTCGCCCCCGGGCGCACACTTACACAGCTGAGCTGGGAAGGGGTCGGCTCTGTGGCTGGTCGGCTGGTTTTCAAGACAGGATTTTCCTAAATGCTGAGGCTAGTCTGTGACCCACGCCCTCCGGCCTTGTCTCCAGGGTGCTGGGATGACAGATGTGCGTCCCTACCAGGCTGCGTACTATGTGCATCTTACTGCAATAAAACAGTCTGGGAATAGGTACCCAAATTAGGAAGAAGAAGGACTATCTCTATTTGCAATGATTTGATTTTATATACAGAAAATACTAAATCACCACAGAATAACGGTTACAGCTGATAAAAGAATTAAGAAAACAGCATCTGGAACTGTGGGTAGATCAGTGGCAGAGCACTTCCCTGACACACTCGAGGCCCTGGGTTCATCCCCAGGACCAAAAAAGAATTCAGCAAAGTTGTGGAATGCAAGATCAACGTGCAATAGTGATGAACAATTCAAAACCGAAGTCAAGACAATTATATTTTGAATTTAAAAGAACCAATTATATAGGAATAAATCAAACAACCAGACAAACGACTAATACCCTGAAAACTACAAAATGTTCCTGAAAGAAGTCAACACCTGGGAAGGGATCCTGTGCTCCTGGTCAGGACGGCAGAGGGCCTGGAGCGGCTGCTGCGTGTCCAGGCTGAGGTGTTGGAGCCTGAGGACCTCCCAGCTGGACACCGGCCACCCAGCCGGAGCAGTGTCTGTGCACAGGGTTCAGCTGAGGGGGGCAGGGCCTGGCTGTTTGGGCTTGTTGCACTCTGCTCTGGGGAGGGGACAGCAGCTGTCAAGGAGCAGCCCCAGTAGGAGGCACTGCCTGGGGAGTGGCCCTTGGGGTCTGGGAGGACCGAGATGCTTCTGGCCTGGGTGGGTTGGGGGAGAGGGAGCAGGGTCTCTGCCCTTCCCAGGGACCTCAGGCTGGAGGGAAGGGCCAGTCCTCTCCCGGGGACTGAGGAGCTGGGGTGGGAGTCTGCAGGGAAGAGACCTCTCCGCCCACCCAGGACCTGCCCACAGGCTGGGTCTCCCCCCCCACCCAGATGCTGACCCTGAGGGCACGGGCCTCAGTTTCTCCAAGTAGAGGCCACAGGGGTTGGTAGCCTCCCTTCTCCCCACCCTGCCCCCGGGCTGGCCTTTCCCACAGTATCTCTTTACACCCTCTCCAGCCCGCCCTGCCCACTCAGAAGAGCTTAACCTCTTGGCCCGGTGACTAGCAGCCCTCTGGGAGCCCATCCTCGTGAGACCTGTTATGATCCCCTTATGTAACAGGTGGGTTGGCCTTTCCCCACCAGCAAAGCCACGGCCTCCCAGGGCAGAGGACCAGGGGATCCTGCCACCCACGCGCCCTCCCAGCAGGGCCCTGAAGCTTCAGCCCAGGCTGCCAGCAGGGCTGCCTCCTGGCGGGCAGAGACCCCAAAGCAGGGTCAGGGGACTCCCAGCTGCTGGTGGATGCAGGAGGTTAGGGTGCCTGGAGAAGGACGAGAGAGGCCTCGGCCTCCAATCTGACCTCGGGCCTAGGCTCTCGGCCAGCCCAGCCCTGGGCACAGCACTGAGCCCTCGTACCCCCAGACTCGGGCCTCCCTCGGCTCCAAGGGCCACCGACCTCCCAGACACCCTCCCTACACATGCCACTGAGGCTCAGAAGACAGGACTGGAACCGAGGGGCCTGTCCCATCCATCCATGCTGGGGACAGCGGGTCCTAGTGGTTTCTGGTCACACAGGGCTGTCCCAAGAGCAAAGGACAGGACGGCCACCCCATAGAAATTTGGACTGGAGCCAGGCACTATGGCACACACCTGTCATCCCAGCAGCTCAGGAGGCTGAGGCAGGAGGATCTCGAGTTCAAAGCCAGCCTCAGCAATTCATCGAGGCGCTTAGCAACTCAGTGAGACCTGTCTCTGAATAAAATACAAAATAGGGTGGGGACCTGGCTCAGTGGTCAGGTGCCCCTGGGTTTAATCCTTGGTGCCAAAAAAAAAAAAAAAAACAAACAGTTTGGACTGGATGCTCTTTTGAACCCTCATTGTCCAGAAGAAACAAAGCAAGGCCTTGGGGTACCCCAGCTTCCCTCGGGAGCAGGGTCTTTCCCAGCCCCTCACACTGTTACCTTCAGAGGCTCCAGATCAGGCCCGGCCAGGAGCCTGGGAGCCACCAGAGGCCGGGGCAGCAGGAGCCATCTCCGACACGCTCTCTGCGGCTGGCTGCCTGCAGAGGACTCCCTGAGCCAGCCGGCCACGGGAGCCTGCTGTCACCTGCGGGGGAGACTGTCCTGCAGGAAGCCAAGCCCAGGACAGGGTCATGGCCAAGCCTGTGGGACCCTCACGAAGACCAGCATCTAGGGTGGAGCTGCTGACTCCACCTCTGTGGGCCAAAAGTGCCTGTGGGCGTGTGTGCTCACGCGGGTCACGTGTGCCTATGTGTACATACACGTGGATTCACGTGAGTGCCGGTGTGCTTTCTTGGAACGTGGGTACCCGCGTGTGCCTGGGGCCTGCCTGTCCTGTGTGCGCGTGGGGGTGTTCGCCCTGGGGCCCGGGTGCCAGAGTTTCTGTGTGTACACACCCGCTCCTGAGTGCACGTCCCTGCATCCCTGGGCCTGCGTCCCCCAGGAGCCCAATGCACGTGCTCACGGTGTGTGCCTGCGCATGCACCGAGGGCCAGAGGGGCATGGTGACTGGGACAGCTGTCCCCTCCTGGGGTCCCCTTGAGCTGGCGCTCAGCGGGGCCTGCTCCAGAAAGCCCCTGCTCCCAGCCCTGTGCTGCGGCTCTCATGCTGAAGGGGAGATGGCCACCCGACACGGTGCCCTGAGGGAGAACAGCAGCTCCCTCCAATGGCGGGAGCCTGCCGGACCCCAGGGAGAGAACCGTCGCTTCTGCTTCTCCCAAGTCCCCATGATCGGAGCTCCTTTGTAGGCTGATGGTGGTCCACAGGACACGGGTGGACTTGGGTCATACAGGCCCAGCTGGTCCACACAGAACTTTGTGGGTCCAAGCGCTCTGTCCAGGGCACCACATGTTCTCCAAGCCCACAGGGTCCCCTGGAGAGAACTTGCTGAGCCCTGAACGTTACAGCATCCCCCGTTCTCCTCTCCCCCAGGGAAGGGGACGCAGACGCTCTGAACTGCACGCCTGCCCGGGCAGTCGCAGCTCGAGTGCCCTCCTCCTAGTTGACCGGGCACCCTGCTCGCCCACACCCAGCGCTCTCCCACACTGTGCTGCGGAAGACTGGCTGAGACAGCAGGAAGCCCTGCCCACCTCCTAGGCCCAGACCTCGGAGAAAGGGCACGGGGCCTTCTGGTGGCCATCCTGAGCCGCCCTGCACCTGCTCCCTGCTGAACCCGAGACGCAAAGAACACTCCAACTTCACACCAAATCAAAGCTCACTGTGCTGCGCGCACAAGAGAGCTGACCAGCGACGGCCTCGCGAGCAGCCGGGCCAAGCGGCTGGTCTGAGGGCAGAAGGTCTCACAGCACCGAAGTCACAAAGCTGGGTGTCTCGGGGACTTGGAGCTGGCAGGGTCCAGGCAAGCGCCACACAAGGGCAGACAGCAGGTTTAGGATCCACGCGGTGTGCGTCTCCAGGTCGGAGCAGACAGAGTCCCACATCAGAGTGGATGAGGGGCAGCGGGGACTTGAGGGCGGTTGTTGTCTGGCCAAGGAGAGCGGGCTGGGGTGAGCTCCGCACACGGGCAGGACCCCGAGCAAGTGTTCCCAACATCAGATTACGGCAGGCCAAACAGAAGTCCTAGTATTTTACAGTAAAACGGAGATGAGCTTCCACGGCTTTGTGATAAGAGGGCTCCCAATCTTCAGACGGATCAGGCTGGGTCCATCACCCGCTCCCCAGCACCCCAGCACCCTGAGCGCCCTGCACGGGGGCAGCCAGGGCCTGTGCTCTCTGCAGCCACACAGAGGTGGATTTGGGCTCTTTCCCTGGGGGTCATTTGTGCCGTCCTCCACCCGTGCCTCTGCCCATGCGTCCACTCACTCACAGACGAGTCCCAGAGCAGTGAGGGACAGGACCTGCCCTCCAGGGTCAGCCTCATGCAAGGCAGGGGACATGGATGACCCCTGATCCTGGAAGACATGAGAGGGGACACGGGAGACCAGCAGCAAGTGCCCAGGGAGACCGGAGCCTGGAGCCACCGGCTGGGCCCAGGCTTGAGGAGCCTGGTGGTGTCTGTCCTCCAGGAAGCAGCCGGGCCCTGGGCAGGTTCAGTCCACACAGACCTGGGGAGGCCAGCGAGGGTAGAGGCCCACAGGTCACCAAATGACTGGTCCTGGGGACACTGGCAGAGGAAAACCCGGGGTGCCAAAGATGAGGAAGGGCCTGGGGCAGGTGGGACTTGGGCTGAGCAGCCAGGCAGTGACGGGTGGGGGGCTGGGGTGAAAGTCAGGTGTGAAGGAGGGACAGGGCCGGACACAGGGTGGAGGCCCAGGGGCCTCTTCAGTCACCCCCATGGACTTGGGCTCCCAGTGGGGACACAGCGTGGGCCCTGGGCGTCTGCGATCCTTCCCCGCGTCCGTCCTGCTGCACTGTTCTGGGTCCAGAGCTGGGTGGCCTGATAACACCCTCCCTGGGGAAGGGGCCCTCCTTCCTGGGTCCCTGTGCAAGGGGCCACCTCAGAAAGCCTCGGTTCAGGGACCGGCCCGGCGCCCGCCCTTCCTGGCTCTGCCGGGAACCCTGACACCCCCGCCCTTCCCTGAGTCCACTTGTCCCTGGCTGAGGCAGCTCTGACCCGGCCCTGCCCACACCCTGGCTCATGTGTCCCCTTGGGAGCTGGGGTCCGGTTTCAGGGGCTCTGCCAAGCTCCCTGCACACTCTGAGAACAGGAAGGCGAACAAAGCCTCCCTCCCTGGGGCCTCCGAGGAAGGAATCGGAGCAGCCCAGAGGCTCTGGAGGATCTCGCCTAGTCCACGTGCAGGGAGGGCTCCCAGGGGCTCTGCACAGCAGCAGCTGAGCGGCCCAGCCCAGGCTCTCCTGGGAACGCAGCTCCTGCCACCCACCCGCGGAGCTCCCCGCCCTCCTGCAGCCCCAGCCCCACCTTCCCGTGTCAGAGTGTGTGCGAGTGCACACGTGTGTGGGTGTGGGTGTGCCTGTGCAAGGGCCTGTCTGCAGAGCCGAGGCTGGCCAGGGAGCATGTTGGCCTCCCTGCTGGCCTCCCCCAGGAAGTCCCAGGACAGCACTGTCCTGATGAGCTCTGTGGTGGCCTGACAGCTCAGGCTGCATGCAGCAGGTGAGCAGGCCACGCTGCTCTGCACTGACCAGTTCCGTGACCTTGGACAAGGACAGGGCTCTACCTGCAGACTCCGACCTGGCCAAGGGATGTGGCCATCACCAGCGCCCCACCCTCTGTGGTGGAAGGACAGCAATGTGGAAATCTCAGAGCTACATGGCAGCCACAACAGGGGCTGGAGAGCGCCCGTAAGATAATGTGACGTTATTTGGAAAAAGGGACTTGGGGATTGAGGCGGGGAGCTGATGAATCCTGGGCCCAGAGCCGGTGCCTCGAGGATCCTGTTACGCAGCTGAAACTCTAGTGGGCAGTCCTTCCTCTTAGCCTCCCCCAGAGGCACTAGCAGCCCTCTGGCAGGGTGACTGCTCATTGCTGGAATCCCCTGGCCCCCATGTGGTCCAGCAACCAGAGTGGGGGCCCAGGGAGGTCGGCGTGAACTTTTGGGGCACACGTGTGTTACAGCAGGGGTGCACTATTGAGGTGGACACGCACATCCAGGAGAGAATCCCACCCTGGCCTCCTGAGCCATGGGATGGCTGCGGTAGTGGGAAAGGCCCCCTAGGAGTTGTTGGAATGGACTCTGCCTTCCTGATGGTGACCAGGGGCAGGACACATTCCAAAAGGGATTCCCGAGATTAGCAACCCGCTTGGCAAGTCCTTCTCACAGACGTGAAAACACGTGTCCCCCTACTCCC